CCCCCACACCCACAGTCCCCCTGCAGCCCCCCACACCTACCCACATTCCTCCACATCCCTCTACACCCACCCACCTTCTCCCACACCCCTTCCCACCCACCTCCTGCAAACCCCACATCCTCCTATTACACACCCATCATGTGAAAAGAAAACCAAAAGCACACATCGACACATACAGATATTTAGAATTGATTTTATTTTGATGACAGAGACACTGGTAGACTTCCAAACTGCTTCAACATTGTAAAGATATCAAGAAAGCAATGCCCAACTGATCTCTCTCTCTCTCTCTCACTCTCTCTCTCTCTCTCTCTATATATATGTATGTGTAGTGGTCTTTTATTCTAATTGTGGAAGAACATGGATTTTGGGCTATTTAAAAACATTTATTTGGGATGCTGCTGCAGCAGCCCAGCTGGCACAAGGGGTAGTGTCCCTAGATACCAATTGGCTGGGCCCCAGAAGCTCCTGAGAGCAAGTAGCCCTGAGCTGCTTACTAGGGCAGGATTTTATACTGATGGGGCCAGCACAGGGCAGCTTTTTATACTGCTGGGGCTCTAGCTCTTCCTGGCTGCAGCTCCAGAAGCCTGGCAGGGTTATTTTGCCCCAAGTGGCACAATTGCCCCACACCAAAATGCATGTCTGGGCACGTGCGCTGAGACAAAAAGCCCCAGTTCAAATTTGCGCTGCTTCTATTTGAGCTGCTGCAAGCCCATGTGCCTGCATGTGTGGACACACCCTGAGTGTCTCAAAGTTACACCACTTCAGGTAAGGGTGCTCTGGGCCATACTACCTAGCTCATGCTAGGGTAACTTCAGTTTGCTCCATGGAAGTAAAATGAACAATTTGCAGTCCTCCAGCATTCCAGGATGCACCACTCCCAGCTTTCCCCTCACCCAAAGCAGGGATAGAGGCCAGGTGTTATGGCTCTGGGCCATGTCCCTGCTCACCAGGCAAGTAAAAGTGGTGCAGGTAAAAAATAATATTAACCCTTAACATGCAACTGCTCAAAGTATGTTCTAAATTTTAACACTGCTTACCATTACACCAATATAGTAATATGCAACTTCACCCTTTCTGTGATCAGACTGTCCATTTTTCCCCCTCAGTTTTAGCCTTTTTTGTTCTGTCTTCTGTTTTAATGACATATGCTTTGGGCCAGTTGGGCAATATTGTTGTAAAACTGATATTTTTAAAATAGCAAAATAGTAAAATCTTAGTAAAATAGTAAAATCTTTCTATTAATAGTTAGTTCTTTAGAATTAAGATGGAGTTCCACAAAACATAATTTATGAACTTTTACATTCTGTCTTTCTATTTTTCTTTACACAAATCCCATCACAGTTATTTTTGTGCTTGTACCTACATGCACAAGAAATGGGAATTACAGCAAATGACAATGCAGCTTAGTACATTTAGCATTTAAAGTACACATTGATCCTACCTGTTGGGATTCTGATGTTTATATTGGATAATGTAGCTAAGCCACTCCCCCAAGAAAAGTATCCATTGCTGACCTACAAAATAATTTCATATATTAGAAGTGCAAATACTTGAAGAAATAAATTTGTTACCTGGTTTGTATTAAAAATGAGTCTAACAATGATAAGACATATTTAAGTATGGCACACTAAGTAAAAACAAGTTAAAAAGGGGAACAGAACAAATATTATAAATGAAATACGCAATATATTTACTATATATTATATATATATTATGAATTATTATACAGCATACAATATACTATATATCACATATATGACATATAGTATATGCTTTATATTATAAACAATATAATATATATAGTGAAATATACATAATAGTATAAGGTATATATATTTCATTTTCAATCTTTTCCTTTGTAAAATATGAAATGCCATTTTTAAAAGGACACATATAAGGAAAAACTCCTTGGCTTGATCATCTCTTTCACAGGAAAATCCTATGTCATTCTACCCAAGGAAGAGACTGAACCCCAGAAATGGTGTTCTCTGGTACTTACAGATGATAGGCAAGATATGAGTTCTCACCTAGGCAGAACTGTTCTACATAGGTAGAAGAAATGTTTTTCTACACTTAAGTAGAGTGGTAGTACAAGAGAGATCTAAGAAAAAGGAATTTATACTAATTACTCTAGACTTGACCATCTGGTTCTTATTCTTTCATAACACCATTGTAATTTGTTCACTGAGATGGAAAAATGGGTCATTTCAGGGAATTGATTTTCAGTAAATAGTTCTCATTCTACATTTGATGCCAAGTAATTTTAAGTACATAGTTATCCAATGGTCTTGTAGCTGATTTTTCAGTAGAAGATTTGCCTTTAAAAGGACTGAAGAATTGGAGCACTTTGGGATCAGTTTACTTCAGATCACGAGGCTCCAATCCTTGTAAATAATTAATTCATGAATTCAAGCCACCTTGATTGCAATATCATCAATCTCTAAGGAACGTGGCTGCCTCCTGGATGACTGCTCATAGCTCTCCAGCTGATATCTCAATGGCTGTTTCCTGTTGATGGCCTTGGGATGCTATATCACAAAATTAAGAATAAACAAATTGGAGTTCTTATAAGATGACAACACACATTTCCATTGAAACAAAATAGCTTGCCCTCTTCCTCTGATTAATTTGGATCAAAAAAAGAAAATGTGAATAGGAATGGGATATTTCAACATTTGTTATAATAGGGGCACAGTCCTGCGAATCTCCCTTCAGCATTTACTGAACAACCTCATCCACTAAAACAATAGATATCTTTTTACAACTCTCCATTGGCTTCATATCTGTTTCTGTATAAGTTTTAAGTTTCTTATCATTTTCAGAACTCATGGTAGAGGTGATATATTTGATTAGACCAACTAGATTTTTGCAAAAAAAAAAATTTCAGAGTTCTACATATTTCTGCCCCTTCTTCTGTATCCTCCCTCATTAAGCATTGTGTTAGTTCTTGTCCTCTTCCTGTTCCCAGTTTTGTTCTCCAATTTTGTCACCTCTCTGATTACTCCCACATTCCTATCAAGTACCACCTCCCCACACTCGCTCATAAAACTTCTCTCCTGTTTGTCTCTCGTAAGGCAGATAGAAGTGCACCTCCTGGATCTATACAGAAAGCACTATGAGTTACACCGATCCTCCTGACCTAACAGACCAATTCTGACCCAATAGACATTCGCTCTTGAGTTGGGAGGGTGGGCAATCAGGCTTCAATTTGATCCAATCCAGGGAAAGAGGCTGCATCTCTGCAGCCTCTTCCCCTAGCTCCTCCCCTGCTCTTGCAACTCCTATTCTGGCTCAGGATGGAAGGGGGAGAAGGCAGGGGAGGGAGGTCCTTCTGCTGTTTTCCCAACCATGCTGGAATGGGGGTGGGGCTGGTAGATTGGAGCTCCCCACCTCCAATCCACCCACCCTACCCTCCAATGCTGGCTAGGCAACCCCCAAAATGAACTCCCTCCACTCCCCCCACCCCACATTCTGAAACCAGTCCGGGGAGCACTGCTGGCCTGCGTCAGCTGAGCCCTGCTCCCAGCACATGCAGACAGAAGTTAATGAAGGCTCTCTGCTTTGGAGTGCCTTTATTTGATTGTTGCAGGGTCAGTCCCTGCCATGGCAAACACTCCCAGTAAGGGGATCCCTTGTGCCCCCTCATGGTCAGCACCCAAGGCAGGTGCTCCCTTTCGCTCTGCCTTAGTTACACTACTGCTAGAACCCACTCTCCTTGGTGTTTGTTTTGTGCCCCTTTTTTCCACCCTCCTTGGACCAATTTGTCTCCCCATTTTTTTAAATTTATCATCAGAAAACAGAACTTACAAATCCTGTGTGCTTCTTACACGACTCATAAGCTACTGAGCTGCACCCATCTCTCCAGCTGTCACCTCCAATCTCATCACTTAAGAGAAATTCATTCAGCTTCTGAACACTTGGGTGAAAAAGAGAGAGTAAGTAAGCCCAGATTTCCATGAGTGAATATGTAATGACCTGTGCTGAGATCCCTTGACTAGAGTACACCAAAAATACGCAAACTCCTTGAGACTGAGGCCTCCTTCTAAGAGAGACATTGTCCCACAGACCCCACATTCCCATTCATAATTGCACAGACCACTTCCATTTCTTTTTGGGGAGCAAGTTATCTCTGTAGCAACTACAACAATTGTTTATATGGAAAACTAACAGTGCAAAAGTAATTAATGCAGTTTTAATACAATAACCACAAAATTTGCCTACACTACTGCAAGAAGCAGGTTCCAGTAAGGACAGGACAGAGCATGCTCTGCTTATAACCCACCCTCTGGACCCAGAAAGCATGCTTGACACCCAGAAGTTCAGAAGTGGGGCTATTCTGGCCTTCCCCCCAGTGGTCATTGCTCCAGTGACAGCCAGGCAGCTCTAAGTTAGGTGTGGTGAGGCAACTCTTAATTGGAGTATGGCAACAAGATGAACATGGGCCAGCAGCGTGGGGATGCAGTTAGGAAGGTCAACCATACCTTGTCATGCATCCACAGATGCATCTCGAGCAGATCCAAGGAGGTGATCCTCCCCCTCTATGCGGCACTGGTCAGGCCACAGCTGGAGTACTGTGTCCAGTTCTGGGCACCACACTTCAGGAGGGATGTGGACAACACAGAGAGGGTCCAGAGGAGGGCCACTCGCATGATCAGGGGGCAGCAGGGCAGGCCCTACGAGGAGAGGCTACAGGACCTGAACCTGTTCAGCCTCCACAAGAGAAGGCTGAGGGAGGATCTAGTGGCCATTTACAAACTGGTCAGGGGAGACCAGCAGGCATTGGGAGAGTCCCTGTTCCCCCAAGCACTACCAGGAGTGACAAGAAATAACGGTCACAAGCTCGCAGAGGGTAGATTCAGATTAGACATCAGGAGGCGCTACTTCACTGTCAGGGCGGCTAGGATCTGGAACCAACTTCCAAGCAAAGTGGTGCTGGCTCCTACCCTGGGGGTCTTTAAGACAAGGCTTGACAATCACCTTGCTGGGGTCGTTTGACCCCAGTACTTTTTCCTGCCAAGGCAGGGGGTCAGACCTGATGATCTGCTCAGGTCCCTTCTGACCCTACTAACTATGAAACTATGAAACTCCTAATTTCCTTTTTTGGACCTGGCTCATAAAACTACATAGTAACTCATTGGCCTCAGAGGTGTCTCTATGCTCCTCTCATCCCAGAGGCACCAGTTGTAGTGAAAGGGGAAATCCAGAAAGTTGGAAAGTAAAGCATGGCCGTGCAAATTAAAATTTGAGTATATCTGAACTGAGAATTTATATCTCCATTCAGTGTTACAGAAGCCTCTTCAGTCAGCACCAGCAGGGAGCTAAACCAACTCCATGAGGAAGGAAGATACTAATAACATAATTCTGAATTAAAGGCATATGGAACAATGTTGACCTTCTGCCCAAGAAAACAGATATCAACCACTTCTTTCCCTCTGAGTGAGGGATGTCATGTCTGAAAGTTCTTCTGCCATCAGAACTATGCTACTCCTTAAAGTGAAATGAAGGGTCTGGCCAAAATAAAAGCACTTGCTCAAACCAGCAGCAAGCACTTAATCATATCAATTTATTTGATTGATGATAGAGGCCATCGAGTGGCCAAGCACACATTCCTCAGGCCTCTGCACTTGGGAGTTTTGTGGTTCATGGGAGAAAGCTAATAGGAAATAAGTTTTCCAAAGGGTGAGGTTTGTTTTGGCAAATATGGTTTTTGAATAATGTCCTGAGGGTCGCCAGCAGTCAAAAGCTAAAAAGCATATACCATTTTGATAGTAGGGCTGTGCTAAACATAGCAGTTTGATGTAGAGACTGGAATGATTTATAAAGGGACATGAGATTTTCCACTAGTCAGAAACAATTTTCAACCTAAGGAAAAGCTCTGATGGGCCCCTGCTCCCACTTCAACAAAAAAAACAACCAAAAACTGTTTATTAAATTTTTTAGTGAATGTGATGCTGGTGAATAGTGACAGGCAGCTCTGGAGTCTAATGCCCTATTGTTTATTATTTATCATTACTCTTATTTAACAAATAGAGGCAGCACCAATGCCATACCCTGTTAGTATGCCTCAGCCTTAAAGTGGAGGGATTATTTTTGAAAGTTGAGAAGGTTAGTTCAGTCTTCATATCTAGTCAGTGTGTAGCATCTTTGCTGTCACTGCCAGGAAGAATGTTGACTTGTGCCTTTGAGATTATAGTTTTGTGAAAAAGATGTTGGCATGGCTGCCTGAAGGCTACAGCTCATTTCATATGGACCACTGAAGCATCAATGGACAACAGGAAATGTCTGTCATTACCAGAGATCCTGGTCTTCTCTTATAAAAAAACAAACAAACCCATTTTTTGGATTTAAAAAAGTAGCCCCAAATCCACATTTTTCCATGATTAAAATGAAACACCGCTATAGATAGACCTATATATATATTAGTGGCATTTTATTTTCATCATAGAAAAATGTGAATTTTGGGTTACTTTTTTAAATCTGAAATTTGGGGTTTTGGTTTATTTTATGAGAGAAAATCAGAATCCCCGGTCATTACCAACTGAGACACTAGAATTGCTTCTCCTAGGAAAACTGGTATTTCAGGCACTGTAATTTGGGAAAAGTCAGACATGAATCACAGCAAATTTTGATAAATCATGAATTTTAATGCCATCAATTCTCCATGATTTTTATTGCCATCAGTTGTCCCCACTGCTGCTAATTCTTCTGTTGCTACCAGTTCACCTCACTGTCTATCCTTCCTTAATATACTCGTTATGTGACAGGCCAGACTACCCACTCCATCTTTTTATTCTGTTGGGAATGGGGTCATGGAAGAGTAAAGCCTCAGGAGCAACAGGACCCCCTAAACGTCAGAATATTTTAACAGAAGTTATAACAGTAACAAAACCATGGTTGCACTTAGCAACCTGTTGGTTATCTACTGCCTCAGGATCTTTTCTAATACCACTGTACATCAAGTGTGACCCCACTATCATCCCAGGTGAAACTTTTAATGATGAGCAGGGGTGCTAGTTTTCTCTGACAAAAAAATCCCCAATTTTCAGATTAAAAAAAGTAACCCCAAATCCACATTTTTCTGTGATTAAAATGAAACACCATTATATATATATCTATATATATATATAGATATATATATAGATATATATATATACACATATTTATATGTACACACACACACACACACACACACACACACACACACACACACACACACACACACACACACACACACACACACAGAGAGAT